ACTATGGTGCTGGTGGTGGTTGCTGTCATATGAATGAAAGGAAAACTGATAGCTTCCAGTTAGATTATTCTCTGGAAAACAGAAGACAAAATGGAAGGGTGAGGCTTCTGGAATGGGGAAATTGGGAGGGGACATGATGGTCATTAAGATCATGTTCTTGGGGACAGTGGAGGCACAGATGAGAAGTGATGGAAGGACATAGATGGCAAGACCAGGCCAGTGAGCTTCAGAGGGTTTCTTTTGATCTAGGGGTTTGAGAGATTCCAGGGATGCTAGAGATCTAGAGGATCCAGGAATTTGGCAAGGGCAGCCATGGGTCATGCAGAGATACGAAGTGGTACAGAGTGCAAACTCTGGAGTCAGGCCACCTTGAGTTCAAATTCCGGCTCTGCCTCAGCAACCTTGGTCAAGTTACCTGGCTTTGCCAAGTTACCTCTTTGCTTCAGTTGTCCCATCAGTAAAATGGAGATGATAATACCTGTCTCCAAGAGGAGCTATGGAACGGAATGAGTTATTGCATGTAAATTACTAGGAAAAATACCTGGCCAGTTGTAAGCACTTGTTAGCTCTCTTTATACTTGGAGTCCTTTAAATGTTTAAAGGAAAAGAGTTTAAAAATTAGAATTTCTGTTTAGATATGCAGTTCATGAATTGCAACACCACCATGGGACCGAATTATCTGGGTCACAGCTTCACATGCATGACTAAACCAATGTCTTCTATAATCCCCTCTGAAAAATAATAGGGCCTCTCGTTAAATGAATTAATACATGTCAAATGCCTGGAATTTAATAAATGCTCAAAACATGTTGGTGGTTGTCATTATTACCATAATTATTCTGCTGCATAGTGATGTGAGGCAGGATTGAGAAGGCAGTTCTAAATAGAGCTTCTCAGAGCTCAAATTTTCCAGGTGACCTCAACTATTATAATATTCTTTTCTTTTTGCTTCATAGCCTTGTCAGGATAACCCAGGTAACAGGGTTACTCTGGCCTCACAAAATGGATTGAGAAGTGCTCCTTTTTCCCTTCTGTTCTCTGGAAGGATTTGTGTAAGATAGATATTATTTAGTCCTTAAACATTTGTAGAATTACCATCAAAGCCAGCAGGGCTTAGAAGTATTTTTTGTTTTTGTTTTTTTGCAGGGGGGGTTTTAATTGATTCCATTTCTTTCAAAGTCAATGACATAGTTTTTCTATTTCTTTCTCTAATAATTGAATAAGTTATGTTTTTCAAGAAGTTTTTATATTTCCTCCAATCAAATTTATTGGTATCAAGTGGCTCATACTATCTATTTAGTATCCTTTTGAAGCTGAAAGATCAGTTCATGAGGGTGGGGATGGAATTGTGCTATGCGCTAAGTCACTTCAGTTGTGTCCAACTCTTTGCGACCCTATGGACCATAGCCTGCTAGGCTCCTCTGTCCATGGGATTTCCCAGGCAAGAATACTGGAGTGGGTTGCCATTTCCTTCTCCAGAGGATCTTCCTGACCCAGGGATCAAACCCGAAACTGTTATGTCTCCTGCCTTGGCAAGTGGGTTCTCTATCTACTAGCGCCACCTGGGAAGCCTGGGAATGAAATTATAGCTCTTATTAGAAGAAAGCATGTTTCTCTATGCCTGGCACCAAAGAAGGACCAAGTAAGGACATAAGGAGAAGACAGCCATCTATAAGTCACAAACGGAGTTCTCCCCACAACCCAAATCTGCTGACACCTGGACCTTAGAGCTTCCGGTCTCCAGAACTGTGAAAAATAACTGTCTGTTGTTTAAGCCACCCAGCCTATGGTATTTGCTTGATTAGCCACACATATCTTTTTCAAACTGAAATACCTATTGGCCTGTCAGGTGGTGTATAAAACAGGATAGATGCGGCATGTCTTCCAAAGCCAGCAGCAAGCTTTGACAGCAAATAATTGCATATTTTTAAACGATGGATGCATGATACCACACATGGGTCGGAGAATGTCAAGTTTGCCTCAGAATGGCCTTGACTCCTTGGGGGCTTTCCATGTGCATTCTTCTGCCTGGAGGCCCACAGCAGTGACTGGAGCCTGCGTGTTCCTGGCTCACGAGACCTGATGGTTAAATTTTCATGAATTTTGCTAGCTAGTTGTTGAACATAGACACTAAGGTGAAATTTTATGAATTGGTGTTAAATGATCAAAACAAAAGTAACAGATAGTCAAAGCTCATCACTTCCTAATTGTGTTCTGTTTTGAAAGGTCTTGATGTTATTTACACCTATGGTTATTTGCCTCTACTGTTATTCACCTCTATATGTGCATCGGGAATACTGTAGAGTGTTGTGATACTGTCCTTCTCTGAGCATTCTGTGCCCAGTGATGTAACTTGGTGGCTTGAAATCAGCCATGTAGAGGTATTCACAGCATAGAAATCAGTAGACACTACAAATCAGGGCTTGGCTTATTGTTTGGGTGCTTGTCTAGTCTTAAGGTGATGGGAAAAGTTAGTAATGCAGATCACACTCAAAATGTGTTGTCTATAGCTGTGACATTGTGAATAGTACAAAAAATGAGGAACTCTTCGTCCAGTATTTTTTCATGTGGACCATTTTTTAAAAGTCTTTATTGAGTTTATTACAGTACTGCTTCTGCCTTATGTTTTGGTTTTTCGACCAGGAATCATGTGGGATCTTGGCTCCCCAACCAGGGAACAAACCCGCACACCCTTGCATTGGAAGGTGAAATCGTAACCACCGAACCGCCAGGGAAGTCCCCTCCTCCAGTATTTGAAAACCGTCATTTGATTCAATAAAGAAGACACACCATTGATAAATGGACTATTCATTGAGTCCATTTTGTCTTAATAATTAATGTAAAGGAAAATATAACTAACATTCCAGGTGGCACTAGTGGTAAAGAATTCGCCTGCCAAGGCAGGAGATGTGGGTTCAATCCCTGGGTCTGGAAGATCCCCTGGAGAAGAGAATGGCAATCCACTCCAGTATTCTTGCCTGGAGAATTCCTGGACAGAGGAGTCTGGCAGGCTACAATCCATGGGGTCGCAAAGCGTCAGACACAACTTATCCCACACAAACATTCATAGTGGAACCAAACTCATTGATCAATGAGTGGAGTGACTTCTTAGCTGAACTGAATAGTAATTAAGAATTTTTACACACATACCCGCAGTTTTTCAGAGAGCCGTTTGTTAAACATTTCCCGGCACACCACTTGAGGAATACTAAGTGGGTAGAGTCTGATAAGGTCACTTGAGTGTGAGAAGAACTAACTATTGAAAATGGTAAAAGTGCATGACAATGTCTCAGTCATTTTTCTCATCTCAACTCCCAGTCTGGCCAGGAGTGATGTTTGCGGAATGGAAGACAGTGAGTGTGTTATGAGCCCTGTCTCTGAGTTACAAGTGTTAGTCACGTCAACAAATACTTTGGGTTCCTACTAAAAGTTCCAGGCACTGCTCTTGGCTTCAGGGACACAATCCCAGCCCTCCTAGAGTTTACATTCTAGTGGAGGAGAAAACCAGTAAGGTATAATAATCTGCTTTCAGGTTAATTTCATCTGTCAACTTGACCATGCTAGCAGATGCCTAACTCGTTGGTGAAACATTATTTCCGAGTGTCTGTGAGGATCTCTCTAGAATAGATTGCACTTGAATTAGCCTCAATCTGTTTTGTTTTGAATCTTTGAATTTGCATTATCAGGCTGTCCTAGATTCTAGTAATCAGCTGACAACTTGGTTAAGAGAGTTGGCTCTGGAGGCAGACTGCCTTGGTTCACAGTCATTGCCTCGCTAGTGACCTCCTTGCATCTTAAATTGCCAGTCCATCAAATGGTCATATTAATTGCACCTACTTTACTGGGATTTTGTGAGGAATAAACACCACCTGGTACTTAATAACCCAAGGTTGTTGCTATTGTTTAGTCACTAAATCATGTCTGACTGCTTTGCAGTACTGTGGACTGTAGTTCCCCAGGCTCCTCTGTCCATGGGATTCTCCAGGCAAGAATACCGGAGTGGGTTGCCATTTCCTCCTCCAGGGGATCTTGCCCACCCAGGAACCGAATCTGCATCTCCTACATTGGCAGGAGAATTCTTTACTACTGAGCCAGCTGGGAAGACCAATAACCCAATAAATATCAGTAACTATTATCACTCTTTATAGAGTGTGTACCAGGTATTGGATGTTGTGCTAAATGCCGTGTATGGGTGCAGCAGTAGCTACTGGGGCTATGTCCGCATCCCCTCTGGCACTCACCATTCTGCACAGGCCAGTAGCTTCTTACTGAACCCAGGATGCTTGGCAGGAGCATGTCCTCCGGCTGCTGCACAGGGCAGGCCCAAGTGCTGGGGAGTTAACGCTCCCACGAGCAACAGTCAGCCAATGATGACCAAGAGTTTCAGCTTTCTTGCCTCCCAGGGGGAGAGCTCTGATCTACACTCTCCTCTGGGGTCCCGATCAAGATTGCACCCCAGCTTCCCACAGTGGTAACCATCTCGTTAATTCATCATCTTGGCTTCCTTTTCTATTTCACTTCCTCAGTGCCCTTCCAGAGCTCTCTAGGATTGCCCGTCAAGCAGACTACTTTCACTTTCACACACACTCTCTCTCTTTGTGCCGTGTGGCATGAAAGACCTTAGTTCCCCCACCAGGGACCGAACCCACGCCCCCTGAAGTGGAAGCACTGAGTTGTAACCACTGGACCACCAGGGAAGTCCCTCAAACTGCTTTCACTGTCTTGCTCATCTCAGGGACCACTTCAAAGACAATGGGGGTATTTCACGTGACCTTCAAACAGTCCTATAAAATGGCAGATATGGCTCCCCCACTTTATGGTTGAGTAAAATGAGGCTCAGATCGGTGACACCACCTGCTCAAGGTCTGAACCTTGGGCACGTACCCTCTCCACTACCTCCCCAGGGAACGTGCCTCGGGGATGGGCCCTGCGCCAGGACCTCTTCTGTCCCTGCCACCCAAGCTCTGCTGACCTTCCTAAACCTGCATCTCCCCCTGCAGGAAGGTCGCTGCCTGTTCGTCATCCTGCTCATGGCGGTGTACTGGTGCACCGAGGCCCTGCCCCTCTCTGTGACGGCCCTGCTGCCCATCGTCCTCTTCCCCTTCTTGGGCATCCTGCCCTCCAACAAGGTCTGCGCCCAGTACTTCCTGGACACCAACTTCCTCTTCCTCAGTGGTCTGATCATGGCCAGCGCCATCGAGGAGTGGAACCTGCACCGGAGAATTGCCCTCAAGGTCCTGATGCTCACCGGGGTCCAGCCGGCCAGGTGAGGCCAGGGAATGGAGTCCAGCCTAGAGGTGGGAGGCAGAGGGACCCCATCTCTCGGAGCCCAAACCCACCCTTCCTGCTCTGGTCATCTGGAGTGACAAACGCATCATGTCCCACCATACACCTGTTCATTCATTTCCCAAATACGTAGTGAGCCCCACTCTGTGCGCCAGGCACAGTGCTAGGCTCCTGGGTAGTTCTCAAAATTACGTAAGAATCGCTTGGGAGTCCGCTGAAATGCTGGTTCCCAGACCTCACCCCAGGGACTCGTGTCCAGTAGTTTTAGAGGGGGCCATGTTAGCAGTTTGACTCAGGTGACTTGGGGCTGAATCCTACCTTTCCTGCTCTGGGAGTGACCTACCCCCTCTCTGCCTATAAAAATGATGATATGATAGTCTCAACAGTAAGTGCTGGCTCTATCTTCCTGGTTTTCTATTTACCAGCCAGGGTGATCCAGTGGGTGGGGAGTGGTTGGAAAGATGGCCTTAGAGAGACGGGGCCTCGAGCCTCCTGGATAGGATTCAGGCTTTCATTTAAAGAGAATTGAATGGCCTTTAAAATAAGGTTATTGTTGTTCTTTTTTTTTTTTTTTGGAGTTTGCTGCATCTTAAGGCGTCCTTCCCAGTAATGTTATTTAAGTGCATAAATCACATGTAGGATTTAAAACAACAACAATCACAGCAAAATGCACTTATCCAAATAATGTTTTAAAACCACACAAATTTGTGATAGAAAAAAATTTCTGATAGAATACCTTATGAACTTCTTTATTAACACAATAAATGATAAGATCTAGCAACAGCCTAGTAACTGTAGTTTTGAGGCTGTAACCAAGTCCTTTCTAATAATACTGAACTTTATTGTCTTCATTAATCACTGAAGGAAGTATTCAATTTCTACTGAAGTGAAAGTGAAAGTCGCTCAGTCATGTCCAACTCTTTGCGACCCCTTGGACTATACAAGCCCATGGAATTCTCCAGGCCAGAATACTGGAGTGGGTAGCCTTTCCCTTCTCCAGGAGATCTTCCCAACCCAGGGATCGAACCCAGGTCTCCTGCATTACAGGCAGATTCTTTACCAGCTGAGCCACAAGGGAAGCCCAAGAATACTGCAGTAGGTAGCCTATCCCTTCTCCAGCAGATCTTCCCGACCCAGGAATCGAAACGGGGTCTCCTGCATTGCAGGCGGACTCTACCAACTGACCTATGAGGGAATATTAGATGTTAGTAAAGTAGAGCTTCAGTTACTCCCATCATTTCCATCCTGAATTATATCCATGGCCCCTCTGTCTATGAATCTCTGCTTTAAAGAATTCTAAGCTGGGGAGTGACATAACCAGAATGGCATTTTTAAAAAATTCCTCTTGACTGCCACGTGGGGAGCAAATGAGGATGAGAAACTGGATGCAGCCCAGGTGACTTCCTCCTGGAGGAGGTTGTATTTGACACTGAAGAAAGGATGAGGCTACTATCAAACACATTTTAAAGTTTGTTGTTGTTCAGTCACTGTTTTTCCCAACTCTTTGAGACCCCATGGACTGCTACATGCCAGTACATGCTACATCCCCTACAGTTTGCTCAAACTCATGTTCATTGAATAGATGATGCCATCCAGCCATCTCAAGATCTCTCGTCTCCTCCTCCTGCCCTCAGTCTTTCCCAGCATCAGGGTCTTTTCCAATGAGTCGGCTCCCCGTATCAGGTGACCAAAGTACTGGAGCTTCAGTAACAGTCCTTCCAGTGAATATTCAGGGTTTTAAAGTTATAACAATGAAAACAGTATGACACTAGTTCAGAAATAGATTTTTTAAAAAAATAGATTTCCATTTAAAAATATGGAAGAAATCTAGATCTGTGGGGAAGGGAAGGATTCAATACATGGTAAATGTTGGTATAATTGATTTATTTAAAAAAAAATTCTTCTTAGATCTGACTTTGCTCTATCAGTTCAGTTTAGTTGCTCAGTCGTGTCCGACTCTTTGCGACCCCATGAATCGCAGCATGCCAGGCCTCCCTGTCCATCCCCAACTCCTGGAGTTTACCCAAACTCATGTCCATTGAGTCGGTGATGCCATCCAACCATCTCATCCTTTGTCGTCCCCTCCTCCTCCTGCCCTCAATCTTTCCCAGCATCGGGGTCTTTTCAAATGAGTCAGCCCTTCACATCAGGTGGCCAAAGTATTGAAGTTTCAGCTTCAACATCAGTCCTTCCAATGAACACCCAGACTGACCTCCTTTAGGATGGACTGATTGGATCTCCTTGCAGTCCAAGGGACTCTCAAGAGTCTTCTCCAACACCACAGTTCAAAAGCATTAATTCTTCAGCGCTCAGCTTTCTTTATAATCCAACTCTCACATCCATACATGACCACTGGAAAAACCATAGCCTTGACTAGACGGACCTTTGTTGGCAAAGTAATGTCTCTGCTTTTTAATATGCTGTCTATACATCTAAATAAACTCCAGGTGGATTAAGAGTTCAATATAAAGGGAAAAAACACTAAATTTAGATTCCTGTTGGTGGGAAGGACCAAGTGATAGCAGGCAGTCAGGGCATCAAGGCGTGTTTGAGAGCTGATGGGAAATTTAGCAGAGCCTGAGAGGGGTGCCTGGGAAGAAGGGACGAGGGAGAGGAGGCTGGAAAGACTGTTTAGGGTAAAATCGTGAAAAATCTTGGTGTGCAGGCATCTTTTTTTCTGCGATGGGAGCCATCAAGGATTTGGGGGCAAAGGAGAGAAAATTTAGGGTTGGTGCCCATCCAGAACTATTTTCCCTTGGGTACCTGAGGTCAGGTCACTTAACATACACCTAGTCAATTTCCTTAAGAGCTAGAATAAGCACGGTGAGTGGATTTGGTTTCCATTGGTCACTGGCTCATCCTCACTGGGCCTTGACTTTCCATCTGTAGACAAGTAGGATGCAAACTGGGACCAGGGGCCCCAGTTCTAGATCTGCCCCTAACTCCCTCTGTCCCCAGGCTCATCCTGGGGATGATGGCGACCACCTCGTTTCTGTCCATGTGGCTGAGCAACACCGCGTCTACCGCCATGATGCTGCCGATCGCCAATGCCATCTTGAAGAGTCTCTTCGGCCACAGGGAGTCTCGTAAGGACCTCAGCTGGGAGAGTGAAGAGACTGCGGGTGAGTCTGTGGGAAGGGACTGGGAGCAATTCCACCAGGGTTGGGGAGTAGGAGTGGGGATGATCAAACAGTGTCGGGGAAGGCAGGGGGGATGCACTTATTGAGCACCTACTGTGTGCCAAGTTTAATGTTGAGAGTAACTGAGGATTAGATAAATCAAACCACAGTACCTTTTTTAAAGTGCATTTATTGAGCATTTACTATGTACTAAGTAATGAGTTAAACACTTAACGTACATTACCTCCTTGGCCTCTCAAAACAGCCTTATGAAGTCTGTACTGTGTAAATTGAAACAACAATGAAATGTACTTCAGTGAGATTGGCAAAAATAAGAAGGCTGGAGAGTGCCCAGTGTTGGCAGGAATGGGGGCCACTGGAACTCTCTGTGCTGCTAGAGAGTGTGAACGTTCAGCCTTTCCTAAGGGCATTCTGCAAATGTATAATCAAATTAAGCATGCATATACCCTGGAATGCAGAAATCTGGCTCTGAACGCAAGGACCGGAAGTCCAGAAGGAGACACATGCCATGTGACCATCTTTAGCGCAGCAGCCCCTGTGGTATGCTGGGTCAGGGCCAGGGTTCAGATACGGCCGCCACTGCTAGCAACGGAGGAGGTAGATTGTGGAAGGCACCCTGACTGAGCACCATACTGCTTTCTAGAGCAAAGATTCAGAGGGACATAAAGTTGTATAAGGCGTCCCTGTTGGCTCAATGGTCGAGAATACACTTGCAATGCAGAAGCCACAGGCAATGTGGGTTTGATCCCTGGGTCGAGAAGATCCCCTGGAGGAGGTCATGGCAACCCACTCCAGTACTCTTGCCTAGAGTATCCCATGGACAGAGGAGCCTGGTGGGCTACAGTTCATAGGGTCACAAAGAGTCAGACACAACTGAAGCAACTTAGCATGCATGCATAATTATATAAATCTCATAAAACCTAGTTGTGATAGGAAAAGCCAGAATGAGGTATATTGGTGTGGCCCAAGAGTTCATTGGGTTTTCTATACATCTTATGAAAGTGAAAGTGAAATTTGTTCAGTCATGTCAGAGTCTTTGCGACCCCATGGACTATACAGTCCGTGGAATTCTCTAGGCCAGCATACTGGAGTGGGTAGACTTTCCCTTCTCCAGGGGATCTTCCCAACCCAGGGATCGAACCCATGTCTTCTGCATTGCAGGCAGAATCTTTACGAACTGAGCCACAGCGAAGCCCAAGGATACTGGAGTGGGTAGCCTATCCCTTCTCCAGCATATCTTCCCGACACAGGAATCAAACGGGGTCTCCTGCATTGCAAAAGGATTCTTTACCAACTGAGCTATGAGGGAAGCCCATACACGTTATGGAAAAACCCAAACGAATGTCTGGGCCAACCCAAGAGAACACAATACCATTATGTAAATTAAAAATACTTACAAAAGACAGAACATTTTGCAAGAACATAAACAAAGGAAAAGCTACACATTCAATACATCAGAGGGGTTGCTCTGAAAAGGATGGAATTGGGAAATGGGGGTAAAAGGGACCAAATTAATAAATCAGTAAGAGTGGCCTCCTGCAGCAGAGAATGAGAACCTACCGTGAGCTGAGGAATTACATTCAGTTAAATCTCAGAAATTATGCTCTAAAGGCGACAAAACACAAGTGGCTGCCATGTCCTTAAATGGCTAAATGAGGGCTCAGAGAGGAGAACTGACTTCCCCGAGTCACACAGCGTGCAAGGCATGCAAACAGCAGAGCCCAGCTTTGCACCCAGACAGCCCGGCGACAGAGCCTACTCCCTTCCCTGTCAAATCAGCAGCATCAGTGAGAATCCTTCTGGCTGAAGATAAGAGGAGGCCCGACTGCAAGTGACTTAGAGAACAGAGGGTTGTCTTCCTTGTCAGAGAAGGGCAGTGCCAGGCCACTTCGCAGGCACAGGGATGTCAGGACTGTTAACTGGCGTGGCTGTGATTCCCTCGGTCTTCCCTTCCTAATTTCAAAATGGATGCCATAATCTGTCTGCTTTAAAACGCCTTTTTGTTTACACGGAGGTTTTTAAATTGGCTGATAAGAGAGCAGAGATTGCAATCTTAATTCTTCCTTTGCAGTTTTAATAATAGAACCCCCACCTTGGCACATGACTGTGCAGAGAAAAGGCTGAATGTCTCAGCTTCCCTAGAAATTAGATATGGTCATGTGATCATGATTAGCCAATGAGGTATGAGTGGGAGAGGCGTGTGCAGCTTCTGGTCCTCCCCTGCCTGCTTCCTGCTCCGTCTGGCTGAGATGTGAATAGGATGCTGCAGATGAGAGATGCTACCTGGGACCCAAAGATGGAAGGTGTGTGTTGAAAGCTGAGATTGTAGGTCTGCCCCAGTAGCATTTGATCATTTACCCCAACAAACACAACAAACCTTATCTATGAAACCATGAGCCTTATGTGTGCTATTTTTTTGAATATACATGAAAATAATTACCTGTTAAAAATCTAAACACTGATTCATGTACCATCTAAGTTGGCTTCCCAGGAGGCTCGGTGGTAAAGAATCTGCCTGCCAGTGCAGAAGCCACAGGAGACATAGATTTGATCCCTGGAGGGCATGGCAACCCACACCAATATTCTTGCCTGGAAAATTCCAGGAGACTGGGAGCTACAGTCTATGTGGTCGCAGAGTTGGACACAACTGCGAGACTGAGCACACACGCACACACCATCTAAGTTAATCTCACTGTGATATGGGTATTTCTCCATCATGCAGTAAAGAGTCTTGCTTATTTTATTTTCACGACAGCCCTGAAAGCTAGAAATAGTTATAAGTCCTTATACAGGTGAGGTTCGGAGAGGTGACTTGGTATGTCCAGAATCAATCACATTGTTGATAAAGTAGCAAAGCCGTGATCTATACAAGGTCAAAGTCTTCCATGTGGGCAGGAAGAGATGTTCTATAGCAGGGGTGAGCAAACTCTTCCTGTAAATGACAAGACAGTAACATATTTAACCCTTTGCTGGCCACTCTGTCACAACCACTCAAACTCTGCCCTTGCAGGGAGAAACCATCCATAGATGATATGTAAATGAGTGGGTGTGGCTGTGGGCCAATTAAATTTTGCTTGTAGCTGCTGAAATTAAAACCTTGTATAATTTTTACATCACAAAATATTATTCTTCTACCAATTTTTTTCCATCCACTTAAAAATATTAAAACCATAGCTGGCAGGCAGCAGGCAGGATTCAGCCTGTGGACCATAGTGTGCAGATCTCGAGTATTCCTTAGCAGATGCCTAGTATTGGCTCAGAGAGTAAAGAATCTGCCTGCAATGCAGGAGACCAGGTTTGATCCCTGAGTTGGGAAGATCCCCTGGAGAAGGGCATGGCTACCCTCTCCAGTATTATTGCCTGGAGAATCCCATGGACAGAGGAGCTTGACAGGTTACAGTCCGTGGGGTCACAAAGAGTCAGACACAACTGAGGAACTAACACTTTCACTTTTCAGGATTGGCTCCCTCAGTTTTCGAACTGTTTCCCCTGAGTCTTGGGGCTCCAAGAGACTGCCTCATAGTCACTGTGGGGCGGCAGCAAGTGGTTAACTCTGCTCCTTCTCTCATTTCAACCCAGCTGCTCCCTCTTTATAGACTGTATACCCTGAGCTTCCGAGTAACTGTCTCTGATGTTTGTTGAGCACTTACTTCATGCTAAGTAGGTCTCATCTTAGGGCCTTACCTCTGAATGACATGGAACTAGCACTGACCTCATTTAGAGAAATGGAAAAGGAGGGAGAAACTGAAAAAGCAGTTGATTGTAGTCCCCAAGGCCACGTAGTTTCAAAACAGCAGCTCTGGTATTTTGAATCCATTCTGGTTGACTTTATAGCCTGTGCTCTTCTGTTGATCTACTTTCCACAGAAGATTTTTTTTTCCCCCCAAGAGTTTAGTGACAAAGGGGAAAACAATGTGTGAAAGCCAATTATGTGAAAGAAGAAGTAAAACCTGAGACTCAGGAAGGAGAAGGCACTTGCCCAAGGTCACACACAGCGTCGGGTACATAAGTGAGATCCAGAGTCTTTCTCCTTACTCTGCAGGATGTCAGAAGGCAGGAGACGCTGGGAGGGTGGGGGCAGACACCTGCTTTCATAGGCGGTGGGATCAGAGAGCAGGGATTGGTTAATGATCAGCCCTCAGACCTCAACCAGGTGATTCCAGGGCAAAGAGGCATTCCCTTTCATCCAGTTTCTGTGTTCTTTCCTGGTGGCAGGAGGTGAGGGCAGGGGTGGACGGAGTGGAGACTCTGGTCAGGGGCCAGGACAGGGGCGGGGAGGCTCCTGGAGGCTCCAGGTCCCTGAGGGGAACCCAGAGCAACAACAGTGAGGGTGATGTGAGCTGCCATTTTCTAAAGGCGCCCTGTGCCTGTGCTAAATTTTTCAGACCCATTTGCTCATTTAATCTTTATAACCGTACTATGAAGAAGATCATCCCCATTTCACAGATGGAGAGACTGAGGGTCAGAGAGGCAAAATGATTAACCCAAAGCAGCATGGTGTGTTAGTTGCTGAGTTTTGTCTGAATCTGGAATCTGTGCTTACAGGCATGTGCCAGGATGAGATAGAGCCTTGGGCAGGGCAGGGCTCGCTGGACATGACCCTGGGGGTCCTCAGTCTTGAAGGGCAGCCCCGCTGCTTCTCTGAAGTTCTGTTACACACTTGGCTCCTTGCGCTGCCTAGGGGACCAGGGCCGCATGGGTGGTGGCTTCTCCAGCATCCTTCTACACGCACGCTCTCGTTAGATCCTGCGCTTCATCCCTGAAGGGGTGGCCCCATTTCACAGAGGGTGAAACTGATGCACAGAAGGGTGAAGTATTTGCCCAAAGCCCCTCAGCCAGTAAAGGGACCATCAGGTTTTTGAACCTAAACTCTACAACGCTTTCCCCTCCTTTTCTCTGCCCAAAGAAGGCTGGCTCGGGACCTCCCTGGTAGTTCAGTAGCTAAGACCATGCTCCCAATGCAGTTCGATCCTGGGTTCGGT